AACACCATGAAGTCTATAAGACGTAACAATATATTAAATGAAATTCTTCCATTATGTGATCTCTTCCTCTAGGAATCTACGGCTCCTACCCTTTAAGTCGCGCGCAGATAATCCTCGGTGTGGAATATACCTAAGTCTAGAACTGCAACTAATCGTCAATTGATTAGTCTGCTTGTGTTACCGTCTTCTGCACTCAAAGCATATACTTCTTTCCGGGATATTGCCAGCGTTGCAAATAACGACTCTCGTGGCTATTGTCAAGATCAGGTCACCGTTCTTTTCGATTCTTTCAGACATATATATATATAACATATGTCAGCTAATCGAAAAAGGGGTCTTCGAGAGTATTACTTTTTATTATATTTTTATTCGAGAGGTGACAATTATTTCGAGATAGTCTTATAAGTATCCTTGCTTATATATATACATGTATACGTAAAAGAACATCGCGAATCAATTAATATAAAGATTTCATCAAATTATTGATTTATAAAAAAGTTTCCGAGAGCATCTTAACAAACTTGACCGACTTTGCAACAGCATGTTGCCCCTGTTTCCTTTTCAAATAAATCATACTTTATTATAATGCATAGAATGCTAGTCGTAGAATTGAATTGGTCGTACGCAGATTTTGCACGAATCAAAGAAATCGATAATACCTAATACCTAATACCATTGAAGTGACATATGCAGCTATTCGAACGCGACGGAATGCGTAGATAAATGGAATCGATAATGAGCCTAATTATTCCGCGTTCATTTTGGCGAGAAAATACTATCCATAATCGCCGATATCGACACGTACATTCCTACCAGCGAGAATGCTTGCCGCGGCTCTGGCGTGACTGGCTTCGATAACTTTTGATAATAATTCGCAGGAAATCCAATTACTTCGGCAACCGGAACACTCTTATCGTCAATACGACTACGTAAGTTGGGCTAGAAAAAAAGTCGATGATTAAAAAGAGAGAAGAAACAAAATAAAACTCACCGTTATTTTTGCTTCCGTTTACAGCGCTCCAATATACTTCTAATTGATCACTAATTGTTTTTACTGGCTCTCCCGATTAAAAAATTGCTATTGCGTCAGAACATTCCAAATATAATACTTTGACAGCACAGATATTGATAACAATACACCTACAACAAATAAACAAATATTTTTTAAACACAAATTAAACTTGTTTTCGACGGTTGAATTTTGCTTTAGTGATGTACGTATAATAATAGCAAACAATAACAGAAATGATATAAAATACGAATATAGCTTAAGAATTTTTATACAAGTGATTCGCTACAAAAATTGCCGATCGCTACGCCTGATTTTCTTGCGTCTAAGTTAAACGTTCGTGAGAAACTTTGATCGAGCAAACAAAAAGACATTGAGAACATCGTAAAGCGTGATGGAATAAGATAGAAAAAAAGAGAGGTGGTGGTGGTGGTGGTGGTGGTGGTGGTGGTGAGCGCGACGGATCGGTTGGTGCGTGGGTGCACGCGTGTAATGGTGGAGCGTGGAGTGTATGTGCACGATGCAGCTGATGACCTTGAACTCCCTGCTGATGTTCGACCTGGTGTTCCTGTTTTTCCTGTTTCTCGTCGGGGTCTCCTGCGTCGTATACTACCTGCCGGGTAGTCGGGCGCATGCTTTCGCACCGCACGAGATCATCACAGCGCGAACGCCGCCGCGCTATGACGCGCCGATCGACAATGTGTAAGGTGGGTACACGTAAAATCGTGCGAAGCATTGATCACAAGCGAGCTGATTACGCGATGTATATGTCCCACGAGACGCGATATCGCTTGCGAGCTGGCGCCTCTGCGTGATTCATGAATAGTGGATGAATCGCTGATAAAGCGCTCGGCGTTCTCGAAAATCGATTTCGCAGCTCGAATATTGCTCGGTTACATACGAGGAGGATATGACATTCACGATTGTTTCGATTTAAATTGCTCTATTGACGCGTTTTCGATGTAAAATACAACAAAAAAATTAACGTCACATTTTGTACGCGTACAATGCTTATTCGATTACGATCACGCATGGGATGGAGTCTTTCATGCGTTGTTCACCGCGCAGTTTGATTTGCGCTCTGATTAAATCGTGCGGAACCGGAGTGGCTCTCCGCGCCGTCAACGCTAAATGATTGTCCTCTAATTAAACGGCGCGCCTCCGCAATCACACGTACGGCCGTGTTAACGTTATTATTATATGCGCCCATACCTGTCTCCCACAAACGTGTCGAAAAAACACGATTTAGTGATTTAAGAAACAATGCACAATAATGTTACGAAAATTAATAACATTGATCGTAAAATGTTACAACTAATAGAATATCATACATGTGAATATGTGCATCTGATCAGCTGAAAGCAATTATCGGAACTCGAATGAAGTATTACTCCTGTCAAAAGCACTCAAGGTTACCTATTTAAATTGACCGAATTCAGATATTGCATAATTCAAGCGCTATTCAATATTGTATAAAAGGTCACCGAGTTACGTGAATGGTTGCATGTTTGTCTATTGTACTTTGGAAATAGCCTAATGCGTGGAGCATACGTAGATCGATTTAAAATAAGTTACGAAAAGTTTGAAAAATTTAGTGCATTTTATGATATATAAAATATTTATGATATAAAAAATAAAACTAAGTCTTAAAAATATTGAAACAAAAAAATAAAACTTACCTCTCAAGATAATATTTTTTTTTGACGATTCATTTTGTGCGTATGTATTTAACGCTTAGCAATAACAAGACTTCACTATTCAAATCGGATTGTTATTTAATTGTTTTTGACGTTTTTGTTTTTGTTTTTTGTTTTTATCAGTCAACTATAAAATAAACGGTTAGTTCCGCGAAACGAAATGTTTGTCGCGGAAAATTAATATTTCCGCAAAGTTTTTTTATATTAGTTTGTCTGAAGAAATCAGTTTTGACATACGCTATTGCAGAAGTGCGCAAAAAGTGCAGCGGTTTATTAGCAAAGTTCAAAAGTTTCAAAATTAGAAAGCAAGCTTTCGACGAATGTCAGTAAAAATAAAATAAAAGTTAAAAACAGCTTGAAATTTTACACGCGAATCTTCTTAATTATAAAAAAACAAATATATTATTTTCTAATAAAAAATTTTAAAAATATATTACCTAAAAAAAATGCATATTATAATTGCGATACTAATAGAATCGCAAAAAAACAAATACAAAAAATAAAACTTTGATTTTAATGTTGCAACGAGAATACACGAAACAATATAATTAATAATACATTTTGGTGTCACAACACGATTTGATCTTTTGAACTTCAGGATGCAGACTCGGATATTCATTATCGCATAAATCCGATGTATTTTACGATAGTCTGTTGACTGGAAATGATCGAAAAATATAATGCACGATAGACGCGCGCAGTACTGTCAAGTGCGAAACAGATTGCAATCGCGGAATAAGTTGTGTTTGAAGCAGAAAGTTTTAATCAAGACGTTTATTATCAATAATCACGATCACAATTGCACGACCAGAATGCGGCACATCTTCTTAATTGCTCCTTAATTACTGCAGAAAAGTTACATCTATGGTATTACGCGTTTTATTAATAACTTTATTAACGGGACTTGCTTGCAGATAATATATGTGCACGTTGGAAAATTTCTACTCGCGATAATCTCGTAATTATTACATATCAGTTGAGCGAACGATCGCGTCTAATCGAATAAAGTCGAATATGCCATAAATTGACGGACGTCATGCTGCGAAGTCAATCACAATTAAAGTCACATTAATCGAACAAAATGCAACAGGTTGGAAAAATTTCTTTATTCCATAATGAATGTTATCAATAATCAATAATTTTTTAACTTAAGATTATATTTTAACGTAAGGTTATATTTTGCTCGTACAAAAAAATGTTTTTTTATTTATAATTTTGTTCTTTGTTTTTTATAATATTTTATAATATTAAATGTCTGAACACATTTACGCTTTTGTTAAAAACCTGATATAATAATTATATAAATAAAAGAATGAATAGATTAAATCTCTCTTGATGCGCGATATAAAACATACAGCTCACGCGTGCAAACGTGTAGAAAACATAGCTTTTCTCCTATCATTTGGCCGAAATCAGTGAAGAGTAGCGAACAACAGATAACGATAGCTTCCCCACGTTACTTTATTTGAAAGAGCAGTCGCGGAGGAGAATACTGCTGAAAACAGGACTGACGTCTATTGTTTTCTGTGACTACGGTATATCTGCTGATTGTTCCTCGGGATGTACATGACGTTTGTTAGGGTTACATGCAAACACAGACGAAGAACTTACGCGGGCACATCTTTACACGTTTGATTAAAAATACATCCACAGAGATTAATGATTTTTATCTTCAACCCCATTATGTTTCTGCATTCTTTCTTTAATTTTCTTTTTTGATCTTCTACAATCTATATTTTAAAAATCTTAAATTTAAAAAATTAACGGTGGGTGTTTTAAATGACAAAAATAAATTGTAAGATACATGTATATATATACAGAGAAACATTTTATCTTCCTTGTATCTATTTTTACGACTTATGTTGCTTTAAAGGAAATGAAGGAGCGCGAAGTAACCTTTGCAGAATAGTTCCTTACTCTCTTTAGTATGTCAAGCCACAGTGACATGTCGAACAAAGAGGCTAATATGAACGCGGCTGAGCAAGCAATAAGCCCGATACCTTCAATATGCACGCCCCATCTTGTTTGCATTTGTTTACTCGAGACATGGGCTGCGGAACACTGTGTTGTTTCCCCGATCGAATGCATGTTCATCTTGTAAGGCAAGATAAATTATTATCTTTTTAGTGTTCAAAACAATCTTTTTATTAGGTTTATTTTGTAAATAATTTTAAATAATTATATTATTTGTTAAAACAAAAGATAAAACGTTAAATGTGTGCAAATGATTTAAATAACTAAATTTTCAATTATTGGATAAAGTATTTAAAAAAATTTTATTTTTCCGCTTATAGAATGCCGACAGACGTGACCGGGAACTTAGGACTCGCGGTAGTGGCAGGAGATGTCCTTGCTTTGCGAGGTACAGGACTTCTTGCTGCAGAAACATGGGCTCTCCTTTGCCAGGCTGCCCAGGCCCTCCAGGATCTTTTTCTTTCAAGTAAGTTAAATATTTTGTGAGAATTTATTGGCACGTTACGTGTGTGCGTAATCTCAGGTCACAATATTTAAATAAATATATAAAGCATATAATTTATATTTTTTCTCTATATAATTACTAGATATTATATTATTAAATACTTTTATGCTACATTGCAATTATTTGTAATTATCACAAACATAGAAAACATAAAAAAATATTCAGATGCTCATTTTTCGTGAAAAAAAAAATTCCGGTACCGGGAATCGAACCCGAGCCTCCTGGGTGAAAGCCAGGTATCCTAGCCACTAGACCATACCGGATTACACGGTAAGGATACCAAATTTTCACTATATAAGAATTGTATAGAAATGCTTACTATTTTATAATAATAACATTAATGTTTATCAATATTTATCAATATTATATTTATGTTAGCAATATTATTGATATTATAAGCAATCAATATCATCTTATATAACCTAATTTCCTATAATTTCAACAAAAATATTATTTACATTTTTTATCTTTATGACAACATAAAGACATTTATAAAAATATTTGACAAAAAAAGTAAATCTTTGTTTCTCTTGTAGAATCGGAAATATATCTACACATCATCTCCGCCAAAGTATCGACGCTTTCTTGAACATTTCCATTAACGTTGCCGAGAATGACGGATAATCCACGCTTGATTATCATCAATTCTCTCTATCGCGTCATTACTTTTTCTGTCTTTTTTATCATGTCCTAAAGAATAAAATGAAAAACAGTATCATGATTTGACGTGGCAATCCTCTTACAGCATTTTCTCTTATATCCAGTTTATTTCTCGCATCAATGAGCATCGGAAATATAAAAAATACCTTCTGTGTGACACGATGCACTATAAAAATCGTATCTGGGTGCCTCTGTTCTTCTGGCGCCAAAACTCTTCGGAACGAATTACGTGATTGATGATAGATCGAAAGAGAAGTTAGAGATTCTTTTTTCTAAAAGAAAAAAATAGTTCATGCAAAATTAACTTATTCTCTATTATTTTATTCGATTATTCTTTATCATATATATATGCATATTTATAATAAAAGCCAATTATCGCAAATTTGAAATGAAACTTATGTAATAAATTAGAATGCAATGAATTCAATGTTCTGACAGTAAATATTAATCTCTCATATATTTATTGCACATTTAGTTATCACATATAATTACATAACCCATCATGTAATTAATAATACGCATAGATGGATTGAATAATGAATGGTTGAAAAGCGCACGTTTGCATTTAATGTCGTATACATTCATTCTTTTGCGTACGCGAAACATACATCATGAATGTCATCCAGATTGCATTTCTGACTTTTTTGTTCCTCGGTTGGTTTAATTTTTATTATATTTACAATAGCAGAAGAGAAATTTGCTTGCAAATCACATTATAATAATACTGTTCTAAATTAATGCAATACGCTCATTGTTTTAATTCATTAATATATCACACAAGTTTTTTTTCGTAAAGAACTAGAAAATTGCACAGTACGCGTATTCAGATGCAGCACTACATCGGTCGGATCATATATAACGTATAACAATGAATAAATTTATCGTCGCCCGAGATTAATACACAACGTGTACCGCAAAGAGTGTGCTTTGCAAAAAGTACACGTAAAGACCACTTGATGTAACATGACAAGGACATATTTATGTACATATATTTGTTTTACATGATATATAAAGTAATATTTGTGAACGAGCGTGGTGAAACGCCACGGTACAAAATTATACTATTTGTTTGTTTCAATAAGTGTCATATGACGTTGAGAAAATACAAACGCAATATTCGAATAGTCAATATCACGAAAATCGATAACATTATCTTTAAAAGAAACTAAACGTTGCGGCGATAGCACTATTCCCGATCAAATCAAACGTCAAAAGATCATCGACGTGAAATATTTAATAATCACGTTTTCAGGTACATTATCAATCAAAGTGATATTTTGCTAATTCGATAATGAACAAAATTAATTGCATCATTGAACAAAGCTCAGTTAATTGTAGCTGATTCAATAGATTCAATTCTCGATGTTAAAAAACCAACTGTATAACATCGAACTTTTTTATTGACGGAATATCAAAGTTAACCTGTGTCTTGTAATAATTACGTTATTAGAAAAACGTAAAAACAAACGATATGTCGAACAATATTGGAAAAATTATGGTTCTTATAATTTCTTCGATAAAAATAAATAAATTATGAGATCCAAAAAAAAAAAAAAGATAATATCTTTTGTTTAATAATCTATCAATAATGCAGGCATACTTGGCAAGAACACAGTGATACAGAGATATTCTAAAATGGAATGTTTCTTCAGTATCGAAATAATCCGTGAGCATTTTCTTCTGTTAAAACCGCGCGCGAGATTAAGCGCGTCAAGCCGCGCTCACAGCGTTGCAGGCTCGCATCTCATTCTTGACTCGCATACGCGCGGCTTAACAGGCGTGTTTACAATGTCGACAATTCGGGTCTTCTCTGAGATTGCCGTGAGGTATCCTGCATGCGATTGCGATGCCGCATAGCATGACTCACGAGCGCCGTATAATAAGCGGCGTCTTCCCGGCACCGCAGGACGCCGGACCCGAAATGCCACGGATTCGTCCTTGCTTCGTTAAGCTCTGATAAAATAACCAGACTAAAAAGAAAATTGTCTTTTTTTTTTATGTAATAATTTTTTATTTTGTGATATATTACTTTGCGATATATTATTGTTGCAATTCAGCAAAGATTGGAAAAAAATTTGTAGAAATTAAGAGATGTGATAGTTTTATTCTAAACAGAGTAAAAAAATATTTTTCAAAAAATCTTATACGTAATTTATATTTTCACAGTATCGAACTCGTAGATATCAAAAATACTAATCCGAAAAAATAAGCCGTCTTAATATATATATTGCAGATCAGAAAAATCTTATCTAACGACAATATATCTCGTTTTGTCCGCAAGGTGTTCAAGATATCACGTTAAAGAAGTTTTTTACATTACTGCTGATAAAAGCAAAATATATTTTTTTTGCTCGATAAACGTTCCAAACTTCAACGACATTGCACTTTTCTATCTTGTCAGAGGAAGTCTCACTTAAGCCCATGTAAGCGTGACAGTTTTAAATGTGAAATGCGGTCTCGCCACACAGTTGTGGATCGTCACCGCACATAGTCGCTACCGTGATGTCGACTGGCTGAAGGTTAACCGACATCTGGAGTCACCTTTGCATCCTTTCAAAGCGGCGAACTAACCCAGTCACGATATACCCTGTGGAAGAGAAACCTGGAACTTCAACGTCTGCTTTTACTGGGCATAGCGGAAAGTCTACATGGACTTTAATAATGTCGACGACACTGAATGCCGTCGGCGAGGCGTCGTCATTGCACGCCTCACAAACGGGTCATGAATGAATCCGTGCGTTATGCCGCATGTCTTTGAAACGTCTTCGGCGCCGTTACTTTATCAAACGCTGTCGTTGTTTTAACATTTTTTATTGTCAAAGGTGCACACACATACTTGAACTTTATTTTACTTCAACAATCACTTTTTTGCTTTATCTTATTTGTTATAGTCATTACTTATCGAATAATGAATCTCTGATTATAATTAATCAATTTTTAATTAGTCGCAAATGCAAACTGACACGCTGCTCTTCCACGAGAATTATTTCGTTTGATAAAGTGATAATATAATTAAATTGGAATAGATAAGAATAAAAAATGCCTGTTGCAATCTGCTTTGAAGTCTTTGCGCACTTTATACTTATAATCTATTTTTATATTCAAATAGTGAAAATTTCTGTAAAAATATTTAAACCATTAAAATACTAATTAATATTGAGTACAGAAACTTAAATTTGTAATAAAAGATGAAAAACATACGCGCCAAGCGTATGTGTAAGCGCTCATATACAAATATAAATTTATCAGATGTGTTTATAAGTATGTCCATAGAATATATGTATATATATCAAAATACATAGTACAATATAAAAAAAACGGATGGCTTATTTGGAGAAAAGTAGTAATCGTGATACGTTTATGAAGTTGACTCTGGTTGTATATTCCTATCTAGAAATATCTGTTTGGAAGCTATTGTACATACATAAATCTTCTGTTAATCTACACGAATGTATAGTTACAAATAGATAAATCTAGAGAATCTTTTTGTAAGAGACTGGAATATTGATCTGCTATCTTTGTACGAAACAAGTTCGACGAATAAAAATCGACAGATTTAACGCTGTGACAAGTTGAACCAGTCACTCAAAACAGGGATACCAAGCGGTATCGAGGTCACTCTCTACGAATAACTCGACGAAAGATGAAGGACAAAAATCCCAGTAATCCCAACATATGCAGTTCTCTCTTGTTGTATTTATTTTTGTCTCTCTCTCTTGTTATTTATTCGCAAAGAAACGATTGTCTTTCTTTTAATTCTCCATGCTTATGTTCATTTGTTTTTGTAAAATTCTTTGAAAATCTTGTTTCATACGGAAGCGTCGCACGACTCATTTGCGGAAGAAATTTCGAAGTTTTATTAATGAAAAGTCAAATATCATTTGTCTCACTTATAATAAAACATAAAATTAGCGCGTGAACAGTTTTGTTAAAAAAAAAAAAAGACTTTTCGAGATTCCGCGATTCTTTTCTTTGGATTCATCTTACGCATGGAAAATGCCTGCTCGTCTTATCTTCCGTTCTTTAACGGTTAGCGACTTTCATCTCGATCATCAATTACATTTTGCTTGCGCCGCCGCTACAGCCGGAGAGTCGAACCTGCACACCAAACATCTTTCGCGTTAACGACCTTTCGAACTCTCCTTTCACAGTTTACGAGAGTGTAGAGTATACTGACAGATAATATTCCTCGTCTTGATGAAGCATTCAAGACAGTTCCAAGATGCAACTACGTTTGCGAACGTAGCTCGACACAGATACATAGTTCTTGTTTTTAACTCTAGTTCGACTATATTTCTTAT